TTATATAAGCGTTACTCCAGATTTACCCAAACTCTCATAGTCGTCTGTACACCAGAAAACGTTAGTAGTGTGTATATAAGCGTTACTCCAGATTTACCCAAACTCTCATAGTCGTCTGTACACCAGAAAACGTTAGTAGTGTTTATATAAGCGTTACTCCAGATTTACCCAAACTCTCATAGTCGTCTGTACACAAGAAAACGTTAGTAGTGTGTATATAAGCGTTACTCCAGATTTACCCAAACTCTCATAGTCGTCTGTACACCAGAAAACGTTAGTAGTGTGTATGTAAGCGTTACTCCAGATTTACCCAAACTCTCATTGTCTTCTGTGCACCAGAAAACGTTAGTAGTGTGTATATAAGCGTTACTCCAGATTTACCCAAACTCTCATAGTCGTTTGTACACAAGAAAACGTTAGTAGTGTGTATATAAGCGTTACTCCAGATTTATCCAAACTCTCATTGTCTTCTGTGCACCAGAAAACGTTAGTAGTGTGTATATAAGCGTTACTCCAGATTTACCCAAACTCTCATAGTCGTTTGTACACAAGAAAACGTTAGTAGTGTGTATATAAGCTGCTAAAAGGTAAACATTCTTAACCTACTTTATTATAGTCGAAGTATAAAGAAACGTTTAAGGTTACCTGAACATCCTGACAAACTCATGCTACTTAACCTTAAATAGAACAACAAAACTTTCATCATCTGCTATAAAGATCTTATGATGGAGGAACTTGTCCAAACAAGATTTTGTAGCAGAGAGAAATTATTATCTGAGTAACAAATTCAATTATACTACAGACTTACATTGAAGAGTGTAGGACAACAGAAACTGAGAAAAAAAAAGTTTATAATTACTGAGTTGCCCTGGATATCCAGATGTAAAATATCTACATTTAGTACAAAGTTTTAAATTAAATATTTTTCATGTATAACAAATTATACAGAAACAGAAATCACTTTCGGGCTATGGGTGCATTATAAGAGTGACGGTCAAATACCTCTATTCAGTTAAAAAAAAAAAAGTATCTCAAGAAATGACGGTAATTGCTTTTCACTAGCTGCATTCTCTCTCGTTTATCAGTTCGAAGTTCGGGGGTGACTAACGCATATAGCCGTAGATAGCTTTGTGTGAATATCCAAAGACAGATAAAATCGAACAAAATATTATTTTGCTATTCTTTCCTTTTTCGAAACATTATTTCAATATCTTGATCATAAAATTAGAAGCATTCTTTTTACTCTACGAACATATTTGTTAAAAAAATGTTCTTTTCGGCCTTCTTGCAACATGAACCTACGAATATAAAACTGTTTATACAAGTCACTTGTTGTATGGTAGTTGTATTAGTCTCAGTAGAATTATTTTTAATCTTCTAATCTATAGAATATTGATTCTGTGAACAGTTCCATTGACTGTAGGTTTATTTCACATTTAATTTCCTCGTAAGACTGGGGGTGTCCCAGAGATCAGGATGACAGGATGCAGACCATAGTCCGTTTAGAGCCTGTCATGTGCCGCTGAACATGTTCAGCACTTTCAACAGTGAAAGGATTAAACTTGTAACAGTCAATCCCATTATTTCGTTAAGGGTAGCCACGCAAACGTTGGTTAGCCTCCCTCTGGATCAAAATTAGTGAGACTATATCTGAACCTTGGGGTCTCTACATGACCTGGCTGTTTAGGCCATATGTCGCACAAGGGTTGAAAATACCAAACATCAAATGTCCTCTTAACCCAGTAATGTTATTATAATGAAATAAAAAATCATTTTCCTACAGTGTAAAATAGCACCTTTATCTATCCATTAAGTTAATGTGAAATGTGCAAATTTAATAGTGTTTTAACTTTTACTTATATGCATAACTGTATATCGTTTCACAAAAACAGCAGATGCTCTTTCTAGAAAGAAAAACTTTACTTCATGATTTGAGGTTTCGTCTTCGTAATCTTTGTACTTCTGCTTGACGTGTTTGAAGACAGTGTTGTAGTGAAGAACTGTCCATTAAAAAAACGTTTAATTACACGTTTTGAACTCATAACAACAAATAATAAAATAACCTACTTGGAACTGGAAATACATAAAAACATTATGAGGACATTATTTCATTATGGTTAAATAATAATTAAAAATTGAAGCCAAAGTTAATTTTTGTATCGTAAGTAACTCCTAGGATTAATGTAACATAACGGATATGTGTACTTTTTGAAAAGATTTATCGCATATTTAAAGCCAAAGTGAATAGCTTGACATCTTTTGAAGCTCTTTTGTTAATGGCAATTAAATGTCTTTATTTTAATAAGTTTAATCTGGCTAAATCCACTACGAGTCACAAATTAAGTAACGCATGGCAGCCATCTTCAAACTGTTTGAAATGTTTTGATTATTTTCTCTTTATAGACACTACTGTTCCTGTATTAACAGATACTTGATAGTAATTAATCTTAAGCAGAGCCTTTTGTAACAACTATTTTAATAAATAAAGGCTTACATAGATAAGCTTATTAGCAATAAAGAAATATAAATGTACTCTATAGAATGAGTTACTAATCCTTTAATTGTATCTGCAAACAACTTTTATACTCTCGAAATTAAATCTTCACCTTCAGATTAACAAGAATCTTTACATATCGAGTATTAACCTTTCAGCTAATTTTTGTATACAACATATTTCAATGTCTAAGCTATAACAGAGATCTCTGTGCATACTGTTTTCCTTTTTTCTTCCACCAAGATACTGTACAAACAACTTATTAACCCTCCCCCGATCTCCTCTCTGAAAGGGACTTATCTTTTAGGATAGTGCTCAACAGATAACAATCTAATATGCATAGGCGCTATCAAAGAGCAAGGCTGTATTTTCATCTATTTGATTTTTACTGGCTTTAAAGAAGATTATGTACAGAAAGTTGTCTATAATATATAGAAACTCACAAACAGCAAACCCTTGCTTTTCCAAATTTGATTTTTCCTGTCGTTTAGGAAGATGATGTACAGAAAATATCTTATTATGTAGTCGCTAACAAACGATAAATATCCCAGAGTTTTCGTTTCTCTGTCCAATTTTAATATAGGAAAAATAAACTAGTATAATGAGAATGAAAATACTTAAGATTTAGCCCGTAAATGATATTCATTCTAGCAATTCTCTTGAAATTAATGCTGGGCGTGGCTGAGTATTAGTGTGCCTGGTCTGTGAATTCGAGGATTCATTGGATACATTCCGTTGTCACAAAAACGCGTTCCACACTTTGGAGCTAGGATTCGCTAAAATAGTGACGGTGAAATTCCACTATAGTGTCAGATAAGGGTAGCACAAGAATTAGCGGAGGGCGTTGTACACTAATTGCTTTCTCTCTAGTCTATCACTTCAGAAGTTAGGAAGGATATGCGCAGATAGGTCTTTGTGTAGCATTGTATGAATATTCTGAGACAAATAAACAAACTTTAACTTCTATATAGATGTACCATTAGTGTGCATGCGTTATGAAGTAGTTACACCCGTCGTTACTATATCAAACTTAGTAACTTTTTAAATTTTATACTATTGTATAAAGTTGACGGCATTAAAATACCCAAAAAATGAATAATTTACGTTGGTTACATAAGTCAAATTTAAAGCCTAATCCAGATTAATATAGCTAGCCGTGAATGCTAGAGAATTATATTGGGTTAAGACTGAAAACACCTGTGACAGAAACTAATCAACTCCTAAGATTAATCGCTGTAAGTGTTATATAGGTGCAATGTTTAATACGTAATATCACTTGTGAATCTAATGCTAGACTATAAACTTGTAGTAGCTCAATACAAACAACTCTGAGTTTTAATGACAAAGCATCAGATTATGATTATGATCACGTTGTTTTATTTATTTTTAAAGTTAACACCAACACTCAGTAGAACCAATATTTTAATTCATTTGTTTTACAAGCAAAAGTATCCGTCCCCAGTGACGGGAAAAGTATAAGTTAATTTAGCAATACAAATTATTTCATGGACTTTAAAAAGGTTAATTGTGTTACACTGTTGGCTTCACTCAGAGCCAAAGCTACTTATACCGCCTACCGCAAAATGTAATTTTTTAGTATTTCAGTTAGGCCCGGTATGGCCAGGTGGATAAGGCGCTCGACTCACAATCTGAGGGTCGCGGGTTCGAATCCGCATACCACCAAACAT